CGACCCCACACACACAAACACACCCGGCACCAAAACATTTGAGTGAAAAATTCCTCAGTTCTGAGAGAGTGAGTGAGTGAGTGAGTCTCTTGCTCCCACCCAACCCCACACGCGCACCCTATGACCCTCCCACCCCCCACCCCTCCCCACGTCTCCACCCCAACTTTAGTTAAATGCTTTGCCCCTAGCCCGGCCCCGTGAGCTTCTGAACGGTGAGGAGAAAACAAAAACATCTGGCGGGCTGCGTGGATTTACACGGCTTAAAAGGTTCGCTCGCCGGGACAAGCAAACACGTCCACCAACACTCATCATCATAGAGACGGGGCAAGGGGGCTCTCATCGTCTAGTTTAGTTTTAGTAAGAGTTTTACGGCACATGCAACTGCATACGGTCATATGAGCGCCAGAAGATTAGAGCAGTTACAAGAGAGAAACAAACATAATAAACAAGAAGTCGAGATAAGGGCGATAGATGTTTGATAAGAAAGATTAAGAAGAAGCAAATCACACCAGAGCACCCGCCAACCACCCACGGGTGTTCTTTTTGTCCAGAGGTTACGGTGCTTGCCTCTCATTCAATGGGTCTCACTCAGGTTCGAAACCTGACAGCGACAGGAAAATGTTCTCTTAAAAAATGTTATACTTTCACCTCCTTTAATTTAATGCTCTCTACCAAGGCCTTCTCAGTCTGAGAAGGCCTAGCTCTCTACCCATGTTCTACATCACGGAATCCCACAGAGGTTGGCGAACCTCATCAAGAGGATGAACGAAGGGACAAGTTGCAGGGTTGTAAATATGATGGCCAGCTCACTTACAGCTTTGACATCAAAACTGATGTGAGACAGGTACGTTTACTATCACCTTTCCTCTTCATATTAGCAGTCGATCGGCTGATGAAGGAAACCACCACATGACACAGAAATGGTATACATTGGACACCATGGACACAGTTGGGCGATCTGGATTTTGCAGACGACCTGGCACTTCTGTCGCACACTCAGGAACAGATGCAAGCAAAGACTTCAGTAACAAACAGCCTATCAGAGTCTGTTGGATTGAGAATCCACCCCGGAAAGTCAAAGGTCCTCAGGACATAAGCACAACGAAAGCAGCAAGTCACAATAGAAGGAAAAGCACTAGGAGACCGTTGAATCCTTCTGCTATCTTGGGAGTTTAATTGACAGAGAGGGAGAAACAGGTGCTGAAATAAAGTCTCACATTGGAAAAGCAAAGGCTGCCTTCAGATCTTTGAAATAGGATTTGGAAGACCAGAGATATCTCACTTCGAACAAAACTGAGGATTTTCAATTCAAAAGTGAAGTAAGTACTGTTGTATTCATGTGAGACATGGAATGCATCACAGACTTGCATAAAGAGGATCCAAGTATTCAGGGACAAGTGTCTAAGAAAGTTACTGAGGATCAGACGGACAGACAGGGTCACTAACGAGGAAGTGTCAATTGACCAAAAACGCACTAAAAGACACTGGATGAGGTGAAAAAAATAGAACAAAAGACGGGACGAACGGGTATATTGGGAAAGGGGTAACAGATGTGGGCGGAAAAACACGCGTCGTAAAGTTCACAGGTTTGCGCTGTCGGCATGCCACGCCCATTTGGCCAGGTAACGAGTGACAGAGGGCGTGTCCCAACACCGCTGCTCCAATGTGGCATATTGGTAAGGTTGGTTGCCAGATGCTACTAAAAGTTCAGAAATCGTTCGCGCCCTATGACCTGATCGAAAGATGACGTCAGGTGAAGAAAACACTTATATACTTCTATGGTTGAAATATTACGGTCTGTACGCTAAACAGCGATCAGAAATTACATCTCTACAGACAGCACAACATTCTTATAATCGTCCATGGAAAAACGGCGATCCTCTAAGCAAGGACACTTAAAGTAGCCACAGAAGATCGAAGCCCGCCTTTTAAATGATTTGAATTGTCTTGATGGGGGTGTTAAAAAAATAACCTCATACAAAAGAGAAGCCCGCCAACACCATGACACCCATCAAATTTTAGTTCGAAGGGTAACGGCAAGGCAGAAGTAGGACCTACTATTGGTGTCCTGCAACCACCCGCAGACCGCAGTCAGACACCCCAGGACCGTATTACTGTTGTAAGACATTCATTGTGAGTTAACTCGAGTACAAATGGTCACAATTGGTCGCTTTTAAGCACAGGTGGACTATCCCAAAAAATGCTGTTTTGAGAAAATCAAAGGTAAAGTTTTTGGATCTTTATTCAGTTTCTTTAAATGACAAGGAGAGTCTTCTCTATAACTAAACAAATATACACACCAATGAAACCAGAATTCTCCTTCAGGCAAGGCAATGCCCACTTTTGGTGTACATCAAGATTTCTGGACACCCCCAAAATCTGGGTTAGCCTGCTTGTCCTTAAAAGCGACCAATTATAGTCATCTCGTGCAGAGTAGAAGCAAGACAGACAAGCAAAAACAAAAGAGGGAGAGCAAAGAAGTATAGGTTATAACCTAGTAAAAGTCTACCTTAAAATTACAAAGTTGTATCCGACGTTTTTTACCGCTTTCAGTTTTATGAGACCATGAGGTCAGAAACCAAATGTTTTATCTGCACTATCAAAGTCGTAAGATTATTCGGAGTCATTATCAAGATAGTCAAAGAATTGCATTCGAAAAAGCTTGACATGTAGTGAAACTAAAAAAATTTAAGTCAAATTTCTAAAAACCGGACGCTGAGCAGAGAGAACGTTGTAATTCTAGGGTAGCGAAGTGGCACTTATAATCATAAGATGATGATCATTGCTTCTTTTGGGGGCGTCAAAGTCGCTGGGAGGGATAATATTGCAAGAGGAAAATAATAGAAAAAAGGCAGACAGGAGGTGGGGGGTGGGGGGGACGAATGGGTTAGAATGTTTACGGTACTTTTGACATTTACTGGGACTTTTAAAGGCCTATAGAGAAACTGGGGTAATCGTAAAACAATTAAAACGGAGGGGTATCACCACCAGACCACCCATCAGTCTCCAGGCGAGGAAACTGGTCGGTAAAAACTGGCATGTTTAAAGATACGAGTAAAAAAAAAAGAAAAGACAGAACCCTTTTTATTTTACCCCGTGATGAAGGTTTGGTAAGACAAACTTATTCTCGAGATTGCAGGTCACATCAACGTCGAAGATAACACATCTTCACAATATCACAGAAAATGTTGTGGTGGCGTCGGTGGCTTTGTGGTCAGGTTACGAGACCCATGTGAGGTTGCGGGTTCGGGGGATCAGGGGTTTGGGCGTCAGTTCGGTCCGACGTTGTGTCCTTGGGTAAGACACTACACGAATTTTACATATTTGGCTCGGTCCTTTCGGAGATGGACGTTAAAATCGGAG